TTATACAGATTATAATGAAATATATAATGACTAAATTATATTATCTACTCTGCAATAAAAGCTGAAATATGAAATTAAATTAAATTAAAAAATTGATACTTTTTTTTAAAATGATATTTCTTCTGATATAATCTGTGCACAGATTTCTAATGAGCAAAATGCTTCTTTTAATGAGTAAAAAACACTTCATATATTGATATTTTATATCTCTCACATAAACTCTTTTTCTTGATCATATGTTTAACAATATATGCTCTGAAATGCAGTCAATAAAGCTATTCTTGAAAACTCAATATATACAGAAATGTCTGAATTCTTCATCTTATTTTTAAATAAAATATAAAAGATTAATTCTTTTGCTGTTAAATAAAAAGAGAAGATAAAGAAGAAGAATATAATTGTCATTGAAAATATATTATAAACAATTTCTGAAAATAATATATTGCATGTTGATGATCATATGTATGTTTTTTAATAAAAAGCATTCATTGATGAAATTATCAGTGCAAATCGATGATCTACATAAGGGTTATTTTGATATAAAAAAGTTTATAAACAATATTCAGAATAAATACTATTGATATGAGCTAGTTAAAAATATTAAAGATTATACATTCATTTATAATACTTGTTCAACAGTAAAGTCAAAATGTCACAGACAATATGAAGAGTTGGATACAATTTTCTTACTATTAAATTGTTTTAAATTTATTATTATGAATCTTATTATAGATTTACCAGCCTCTACATTTCTTCATTAAATTTACAATGTGATTTTAATGATTGTGAATATATATATCAAGTTTACAATCTATATTCCTTGTATCAAAAACATTACAGTCAATGAATTAGTAGAAATCATTTATATTAAATTTTTTACAATTTACAGAGTATATAAAAACTATATACCTGATTAAGAATTGCTGTTTACAAGCTATTATTGATTCATCTTTTATTACATGGTAGACATATGCTGAAAACTTTCAACAGTTTTTCATGTAGAACTGTTGAAATGAATGTAATTTTACACACAATATTGCACAAGATAATTGATTCAATCAATATAGTTGATACAATCAGTTAAATCAGTACAATCAATTCAATTGATTGTTAATTTTTTATATGTATATACTTTGTTTTGATTTCTCTTTTTTATTTTCATTTCTATAAATTTCAATATTTTTTTTTCTTTTTTCTTTTTTTTTTTTTTTATCATATCTTTTCTATATTTTGCTGCTCTCTTTTCATTCACCTTCATTAATATCTCTGCTTTTCTTTTTTCATTTGTTTTAATCAACATTTTTTTCTCTCTTTTTTGATAATATACTACTCTGAATTTATATCAAATCATGTGATTATACAATATCATAGATAAAATTATTTCTTTATCATTTTTTTTTTATTTCATTTAAATTTTCTTTTCTTTTTCACTGTTTTTATTTTTTTTTTCTAATATATTGAAGTATAGATTGCTTCTTAATAAACTGAGAGAATATTCTTCTCTACTTTTTATAAAGCCTTTCAGACATGGCAGTGGTGGTCCCTTTCAGAGAACCACATATAACTTTATCATGAATGACCATACATCAGATCAGAAGTGGATTTGCAGTTTGATAAATGCAATGAACTGGGTTTTTTTAAAAGTTGTCATTTGAATTTTGCTTCTCCCCTTCTGTGTATATAGAAATTTCTTCAATGTAGCACATCCCCATGCTCTTCAAAAGGCTTCTGAAGTACAGGCGCTGCACATGCTTCTCTCTGGGACGCTAAATCTATACATACATACATACATACAAGACAGTAAAATGATGGGTGTTGCAGGGCATATTGACAGATTTGATGATAAAGATGTGTATTTGATGATAAAGGTGCGTATTTGAATGAATTGGATGATATTTGAATGATTCTAGAGATACGTGGATATTTTGGTTATTTTTGCGGTGTTTTGCTAATATTTTTCAGGGGGGTGGCAGAAAATTCTGTTTTCGCAAGCTTTACGTCCGCCACAATAGAAAGGAGAAGAACGTCCCCTTGCAGAAAACAGATAAGGAGCCGTTGAAACGGAAGGAGACAAAGATCGGAACGTTGCGTAAAGCGTTTGGCAAAATACTCCCTTTTCGAACCTGAGAAATAGATGAACGGAGTGCCGGTTTCCTATGTTTAATCCTATTATGTAGCTTATATGCCTTTTCCACTTTCAGTCTCTCTTTCACTTTCACACAGATTACATCCTGGGGTATTCTTTCTGTCCTCTTTCCTCACTTGTCTGTTTTGCTAAATTACTTACAGTGAATTTTTGCTTATCATAGCTAAAATTAGGTACCCTATTTTAAAATTCATTTTTGGAAATTTCTTATATTATTTTGTCTTTCGGCTTAAGCTCAAGCCCATTTTCCCATCAATAAAATAATTGAGGAAGGATGGGCGTAGTCCATGAGTCGCTATGGCAAAGAATGATTTGAACACAACGAGTGTTCGACCAATGGACCTGACAGGAAGCTTGTGCAGCTTTTTGTAACTTTTTGTAATCATATGATAGTTAATTAATCTGTACATACGACTGGATTAGTAAAAGTGGCATCTGCATTTGATGTGTTGTGTTGGACATATAAAATGTGCTAACCCCGTTAGAGTCGCAAAATATCTGACAACTCTCCTCCTTGTTGTTCCCTTTTCCTAACACGGTACGGAGGGGATGCACAGTACAAGGATCCGTAGCTTCGTAGCTTCATGATTCCTCTGGTTTTTGCTCCTCCAATTGTGGTGGTAAAAGAACGAGCGGGTGAGAAGTAAAATGAGCGCACAAGTCTTATTTATTTATTTATTTACCTATTTATTTATTGTATTTTATTGTATTTCATTCATTGAATCATTATTAAACAAACCTAATCAGATGGTCCTTTTGCTTCCCCTTATTGCTTTGAATATTTTTTTTTTCTTTCTGAACCATTTTTCATTCACAACTATCTATTGTTATCATTTTCTTTCTATTTTCAGTCTTTCGTCATATCGACATCATCGGGGATGTTGCTATCATCATGGGCCTCGAAATCTCCATCGTCGTCATCATCGTCCTCGCCAATCGGCTCACCGTCCTCTTCCGCTTTTTTCGCGGCCGCTGCGAAATCAATCGTTTTGCCACGGGTGCGTCGGCCATCGCCGATGATGTTCTCGGCGGATATGGGTTCGAGGTTGTCTTGTCCTACATCCTCTTCGTCTTCTACATTTTTTGTCCCACCCCGACCGCAACAAATTGGGGTAGTTGGGCTGAAGAAAGAACAATTGGCCCATGCGGAAAGCAGAGGAGGGAGGGAGAAACGTGGCGAAGGGGAAAAAACGCGTGTGTGAACCAAAACGCACTGCTGGCATAGAAATAGATTTATGGGATAGGTTCAATGTCTTCCTGAACGGCGGGGCTAAAATTGGATGCGGAAGTTTCTTACCATCGACGGTCTGTAGATAAAGCCCAAATGAATTTGTTAGCGGACATTCATTTCTTCCTAGGAAGGAGGACGCGCGACTTGTCTACGCGCAACTGGAAAAATTACGAGAAGCGACGTCCTCACCCTCCCCCCCCAACCATCCCCAATTCCTTTTTTTTGCTTTGAAAGAAACATACCAAATCAGCCGTGCTCTCATCGGAAGAGCTCTCCACATCCTCACTATCATCAGCTACGTGGTTGTCCATTGCTTTGCCTTTGCCTTTCTCGACGCCGCTACCTGCGCTGCTGCCATAGGTTGCAGCTCCGGTTTCGCCCATGGTGTGATAACAGAGCTATTAAGCAGTCAAGGGGTAAACAAGCAGTGTGGAGAAGAAGAAAGAACGAAGAATTCCCTTCTGAGAAGAGAGGTAAAGGCTTTGTTGGGAAGGGGTATTGCAGTTTGTTTTGTGTTTGTTTTTGAGAGGAAAGACGAGGCAATTGGACAAAGTTGGCGCAAAGAAGGTCGCGATCCTGGGTCTAGACCCAAAGGAGTAGAGAGTCAGATTGACCCGGAGAAGCCCCTAAATATTTATGGCATTCAAACTCGAAAGTGGTATCCATGATTACTCCGTTCGTCATCAGGTCTCCCCAGCGGTTTGATTTTTACTTATATTCAGAGAGCGAACCTGACATCTAGTTACCAGCAAGCTTCTTGCTACATGCCGTTCTAAATTGCTCTTCTCAGGCCGTAATTAATTACATACACCATTTGTTTCCCTCCTTCGCTCATATTTTAATTGAGCATAGTATCTCATGTGGGCAATTTATGGCTTATATGAGACTTCATACGCTGCTGGTTAACTACTAACTAGTTATTCAAAATCGCCTGTTACATTACATACTCGTAACTCCATAACAACTAGTAGCAGAAGGACAAATCGCCCAATCCACCAGATGGACAGATATTTTTATCCTTCTCCAGTTCTCTGCAGATTGCCAAGATGTGCCCTATCCTCGATTCCACTTCTAATAGACAACAAATTTTCAGTATTGGAACCACCGATTTTTAGATGTCTAATATAGATGGTTGTGCTGATAGCTTCAATGAAAATCGAGCAGAATAGGCAACCAGAATCGCGACAGAAAAATTCCTCGAAGCTTCGGACCAATGACTGTGTCCAAGTCAGTACCAAGAACAGTTCTCGGAGTAGAAATACCCGAGAAGGACTGAATTGTTCCAGCGTACTCGCGAGAATACGCTCACTGATTGATAACTGTTAGTGAGTCTATTGTAAAAGGTCAAGAATACATGTAAACAAAGTGGAGCCAGATCGAGGAAGAAATGATGAGTTTGAAGACAAACAATTTCCTCTGAATAGGAATGGTTTACCACTTTCCCCCAGGGTCATAAACCATTTCTCTTCAGGGAAAGAAGATGCCCCAATTGTTGTGTTGAAATATCCAGACCAGACTGTTCTGTTGGCGCCAATTGCTCGAATCATACGTGACTTTCCCAACACTTGTGAATTGTTTTCCAATAGGAAAAGCCACCCATGCGTGATCGAGAAGATGTGTCCGTCCATGTTTAGATGTCTTTCAAATTGTTTTATGCATTGAGATCAAGTTTTGAATTTGCTGGTAGTCAGTCTCCACGCATGGTAGGCTCGACTCCAATGCCAGAGATCTCTCTTTGAGGACTATGGCATTATAGTCGGCGACCAAGAGCTGCCTTTCCTCGCTAGGGTAAGCACGCCTGGTCGTCCAAATGGTATTATGAGCTGTCATGGCACGGTTGACTCAGATGAACCAACCTGAGCTGTGTCTGAGGGAAACGGCGGAAAGGAGAGTAGTGTTCTCTATGGCAGTAGCTGAGTGCTGAATTATGCTGGTAGATAGCATACCATACAAACTTCAGCTTCCAAGGGGACTTGAAACCAACCATAAAACAACTTGAAGGGTTTGCCGAACCAGCCATAGTTGTACTAGTACTCTGCAAAGAAAATCCTGTGTTGATGGACTCTAACCGCCAATTGCCTCTCCGTTCAATTTACAATTGAGAGAGCTGCTGTGTGGTAGTCACGTGATAAATCAAAAACTCCGTCACCTTGCGAAGGCGAGAAACGAGTTCGTCATCACAGCCACCAACCAGGCTCTGATCGTAACCATTCCTTCTGTTCCCATTCTTGAGGCCCAATGTGTTCCTCCCGGTGGCTTTGTTTGCCGCACTTTTGCTCACTAAGGGCAGTTGATGCTTCCGGTTGCTGCCAGACTCCAAAGGGACTTTTTAAGTTTCTTCGCAGGCGCCCACTTCGTGATTACGTCATAACTAATTACCTCACAAAAAGCCACCCACGAACATATTCCAGTTGCCGTAGAAACAACCCAATTGTGTTAAGAGATTTGCAGCTGCTTGGCCAAGGGCACAAACTGTCGGTGCGGTTGTAGGATGTAATCAATTGTAATTAATTGCTGGAAATTGTTGTGTTGTGTTGTTGTGTGAAAGCCGTCGTGCGGGATGGATGGCGGTGGAATGCGGTGGACGCCCATCGAAGCCGCTGAACTTGCTAGAAGCTTCTGGCACCGGAATCCACCGCCCGCATATAAACAAATTTTGGCCCGCACAACCAAACATCCCACCTTTCTTCTTGTTTTTTTATTTTCTTCCCCATTTTTTAATCCTCACCACTGCCTCTTTTCTTCTTCTTCTTCACCATCTTCGTCTTCCTCTTTCCTCTTTCTCTCCCATTCCTCACATCATCGCTATCCTCTCTAGTTCTCTTCTTCCGCCTGTACACTTTGCAACTTACTTACTACTGTATACACACTCCTAAAGTGCTGGCGATTTAATCCCACTTTCTAACATCTAATTTCTTCATCATGGCTTCCGGCTGTTGGGTATGTCTATGAAACCCGCCCGTGGTTGCTTCTTTTTCCATCTTCG